TATATATTGGACCCTTATATGTTTTTGAAAACGAAGTTGTAAATGCCCCTTTTATGTGTTCTCCTATCCTTTGCTTAGTTCTAGTAAATTGTGTTTCGCTTCCAGTGTAAGTATATTTCAGATATAATCCAGAGTGCTTTTAAAGCCCCTTCTGAGGCTTGCTTGGCAAGAAACAAGCTCTTCTGGGTGCTATAGATCAGGCATCTGTTTATCTTAATGAAGAATAAATCCACGGAGGCTACTTGCTGTACCAAAATAAAAAGAAGGAAGGGATTAATTCTGCATTAAGCATTCTTCTATTCTCAGGTTCAAAATAATGATTCTCATTAAAAGCATTCTGCTCTTTTTTACTTCCTATACCTGCATTTCACAAGGAGTCTTAATAACTTATTAACTGATACGAGGTTCGCCTACACAGATTTTTGTAGTCCAGAGTTTTCATCAGGGATCTTGTTGATATGCGGCTTGCTGCTTCCATCTTGGGTTGGTGTACATACTGATTTAAACTTGAATTCAGTTGTGATGCTTGAGACAGAGAAGAAACTCGCAGGATAAAATTAGCCTGATCTTCATCAAGAAATACCATACAGGTTGCTTCCTGGCAGAGTGTCATCTTCAGGCAGAGAGACAGAATCTCTCTTTTCTTGCCCTTAGGAGGTTCTCTCTTTTTGTGACTAGTATAGAAATCATCTATTTTTTAAAAAATCTTGAATGGCAGATGCATCCAGGTGCTTATTGTCATCTTCAAATTCTTACCGCATGCCGACTAGTTTATCTTAAAACTAAGTATGAAAGCTCACTGTTTTATTTCAAGCTTGGCTTGGAAACCCTTTGATTCTGTGGAGCCAGAAGGCTTTGTATGCTCTGGTCTAATTTGGTTATTAGTGAGTGTGCTTTGAAAAGTCAGACAGTTTTTCTGGTTGCTTGCGCTTCGTCAAGGTAGGTTGAATACTGATGGTTTGAGGGACTGTCAGAAAGGGAACGCTTCTTAAGTCTAGTGAAGAAACTTGTTAACATGGGACACAGGGCTCATACATGTTCCAAGTCCCACTACTCTCCCTCTTCTCATCTTGGGTGACTGTCCAAAGTAAATGTTGCTGTATGAGCTGTTCAGTGATGATCGGTTAATTTAAAGAGAAAACTTGGCTGTAACTGGGTAGGTTCTACTTGCTGTCTTTGCCTAATGGAGCCAAGCTTGTGATGGGCAAAGTATCACCAGGAGGCTAAGAGAGGTAACCCTTCTGTCTGCTCAGCACTGGTCAGGCCACACCTGGGGTGCTGTGCCCGGTTCTGGGCCTCTGGTACAAGGGACCTGGGCACACTGCAGAGTGCAACTGGAGGCTGCCAAGGTGCTGGAGGGCCTGGAGCACCTCTCCTGTGAAGGGAGGCTGAGGGAGAAGAGGAGGCTCGAGGGGGATTTCATCCATGTCTATAAATGCTGCAAAGAGGATGGAATCAGGTCGTGCCCAGCGTCAGGACAAGAGCCAGTAAGCACAAACTGGAGCACAAGAGGCTCTGTCTGAACACAGGGAAGCACTTCTGTGCTGTGTGGGTGACGGAGCAGTGGCACAAAGAGGTGGTGCAATCTCCCTCCTTGGAGAGTGTAGTTCATCCATTCTGAGACCCTGTGACTGAAGGGAAGAAGGGATGCAAGGACAATCTATCGTGAACTCTCATTACTGGCAAGAAATTTCCTTCTCGTCACCTTCTATCTGCATCTCTTAGATTCATGTTAAGGAAACATACATAAGCTCTGTATTTTCAATTGTTAAAAGCAGGATGTAAAAGTCAGAATCACACTGAGCCTGGTAGCCTTAATGTTCATCAGAATAGGTAAAAACTAAAACGAAACTCATCAGAAAGTCCGGAGGTTGTTTTTGATTAAAGCAGCATCCTCAGTCTGATATTTTTGGAGTATTTTGTACACATTTTTAATTTTTTCAGCCACTTCTAGAACTGAATGTGTCTATGACTATCTAAACGTTTGGGTAGGAGGGAGCTGTTTGTCAGAACAAGGGTAAGAATAGGTATTTCCTATTCTAGTCACTGGAAGAGAACTGATAAAAGCATATCAGTAGTTTGACCATTCTGCTGTCAAATAAGCTGAGTTCTGTGATGTAGCATGATGTCAATCAGTTTGTCTCAGGAATAGTGGTTTTCTGAAGTAGTTTATCAGAACTTGGCTCTTCACTCTGAGCTTACAAGGGTTGTATCTTTGTAAAAAAAAAAAAAAAAAAAGTGAAGCATGTTACCTAAAGACTGAAGTCTTTAGTAAATGAATACACAGCTGTTAGTCTGAGTTTTTCTCATTAGACTGCAGCTTTCAAGTACAAGATGATCAAAGATGGTGTGGCTAAGATTGTTTAAGCTGACTTAACTTCTTCAGGTGCCCTTCTCTCTGGCTATGTGCCATTATTTCTGGGGACCAGGTCTGTCCAGACAGCATCATCATGCCACTCACAGAAGTCGTCAGTTACAGCTGTGCAGTGTGGTATTCAAGAACCAAGAGCTGTAAGCTGTTTTGGCAGCTCTCTGGGACGTGCTGGCTGGGTGACTGGACTGTGACTGAAATCAGGGATGGCTGGTGGCAGAAAGGGCAGCTCCTGGATGAACTGGCCAGGGATTCAGGGCTAGAGTTGTGCTGAGTTGTCACTGCTAGGTGGGAAGTTGCCATAGGAACAAAAAATGCTTTCTTTCAACGTTTCTATTTAGAAGGGTTACCAATCCTCTTAAATAACGACTTTCGGCTAATTTTAGATTGTATCTGCAATTCAGAGTACTTGTTTCCCCGAGGTGCGTGTTACCTTGGCATACCAGAGTATGTACATGTGTGCAGGCACACGAGCACTTGCTAATTCCAAACTGAGAATTTGTTTGGGAAGAGAGGAAACAGGAAGGTGACTTTTCCTGTTTCAAGTAATGAACAAAAAACAGGTGGTAGTGGAAGACAGCCAGTTCAGAAAAACAACACCAAGCTCCAGCACCATATTGAAAGTATAGGAACTTATCCACTATTAGTGTTTATAATACACCAAAATCAGTTTTTCTCACATGGTAAATCATCGCTTCCTAATTTTGTAGTGCTATGTTTCTTTCTGCTTAGTTGCTTCACAATTTCGATTTGTTTTTTAACCGAGTTAATGGCTAGAACCTACCTCACAGATCAGTTGTATTTCAGCAAAAAAGTTTAAGCGTTGTGTTTGAGATTAGAAAGAGAAATACTCAAAAATGCAAAGTAACAGATATCACTTGGATGTAAATGCTTTTAACTCTCCAATGCATGCTACTTTTACTGAAAATTTAGTATATTTTTGGTAACTTAAAATGTGTTGGGATCAATGTATTGTCTCTTCCTTTATTTGTTCTGTAAGGCTGTAGGCATTTTTGCTCTTTTAGTGGTAAATTTGCAGAATGGGAATCTTAAATGTGTTTAATGAAATCTAACTGTTGCTTTCAGTCATATTTTCAGTACATTAAGTACTGTGTGTATAATTAAATAGAATTGTTAATCTATTCTTGAAGTATGTACACTTCTCTGCCAGTTAGAGCATTTGCTGCTAGAACAAGCTTTGCATAAAATGACTGTCTTAAATTTATCTACCTTTAGAGGCTCTAAATGGTTATGTAGGGTAACATTTTCTTGTGCACTGAATGTGTACACTCACAGGCCATATGGAAATTGCTAATTGAATAAGCTATTCTGGAAATCCTCTTTAGAACACGAAGAAAAGTCATTTCTGTTCTTTTAGCTGTATGAAAATGTTTTTGGTGTTAGCTCATGCAGGAATGAACTTTTGTTACATATAATAGATATGAAAGCAAAACTCTAATTAAATCCATTCAACTGCAGAAATAGTAGCATTACATCCTGATTTTCATCCTGAATCCCATTTCCATCCAATTTCTTTTTCCTATTTCTTATCATATGGGCAGTTAGTGAAAAGGAGGCAATGGTCTATTCCTGTAAGAGAAAAGTGTCAAGGTATATTTTCAGATGTATGCTTCAGTGTAAAATAGCTTGCAAATTTGAAAAGCTTCTACAGCAATTTCAGATCCTGTAAAAAGAATTGCAATGCTTGCAGTAAGATTTCCCGCTCAACTGTTTTTATATTCTTGGTGTAGGTCACTCCTAGATGTTTTATGAGTCTTGTAAAAAAAAAAAAAAAAAAAAAAAAAAAAAAAAAAAAAAACCTTGTGAAATCATTCATATTTAAAAACAGTTAACTGTTGCCTACTTTAAACCTGCTTTTCCTACTTCAAAAAAAAAAAAAAGAGAATAACAGCTTGAGTGAGAGCACTGTTGAGTGTAGTCTGGGGAATAGAGTGAACTGGGGACCATTTTTCTGATTCTGTTATTTAATTCATCCAGAAGTACAGTGACAATCTGGTAAGGAATATTACAATAAAAGCAACCTGCTGTGAATAGGCAGTAAACTGCTACATGTACATTTAGGAAGCTTCAGCAGCTTCTGAAATGCTCAATCTGCTACAATAAGATAGCTCATTCCTTTAACTTTTATATTATATCAAAGCCTGAATACCCTAGCCAAGGTCAGGACTCTGACAGTGAGGCATAGTACAAACAGGCAGTGTAAGGTTCACCTGCTGTAAACAAACAAGTTCCTGATCACTTCAAACCTCAGGTTAGATAGACAAATACGTTGAAGATTTGGACTTCACATGCAAATGGTGGGAATAGCTGAGGAACTGCATTGTTGGCAAACTTCTATTTGGTTGGTGGGTAACTTTGAATACATGGGCTAATTAGTGCATGTAACAGGATGATCTATTTCTGTACCGTAATACTCGTATAGATGGAAATACTCATCAAAAAGAGTGAACAAAAGAATAAATAACTATATACTCAGAGGATGATGAATAGAACATCTTGATTAAAAGGTTATTTTGCTTAACTTAATTCCTGTAACAAAAAAAAAAAGTCTTAGAGGGTTCTCTGTAAGTTCAACTACAATTAACTTTTTTCATTTCTTTTCAAACAGGTGTCAAACAAAAAATCGAACAGCGCTCCTCCCCCAGCACAGCTATCTAAAATCAAAGTACCAGCACCACAGACAGTACTGAAAAAGGAAAAGCGGCAGAGTTCTTCAAGGTTTAATGTTAGCAATAACAGGGAGCTTCAAAAACTGCCAGCTTTAAAAGGTATGTTTTTCTAAATTTGAATGAATCTTGTGGGGGATCTTGAGCATGAGACAGAGAAGCATCTCAACTATCATACTTTTATGTGAAAAACATATGTTATATATTAAATATTAACATATGCAAACTTGCACACACTTGCATATGCAAACACATGGTCTTTTTTCATTTCATTCCTTATACGAGGACATCCAGTCTGTTGTCTTCTTGGCAGTTAATATAGGAAATATCCAAGTCTTTTCAACCCAGAAAGGTTTATGTGAAAGTAAACTCAATCATCTTGCATAAAAGCAGAATATTTGGGCTTTTTTGCAAAACATCAGTCATCTGTCCTTAGCGTGGCATTCTCAAGCCCTACTTTGTTTGCTTGTACTAAGATAGCTATTAGCATTGAGAGAAGATCTGGTCTGTTGCTGTTTATTGGTTTGGTTCTCCAGAGCATAGAGTTAGACTTAACTCCAGAGTCAAGTGAAGTCATGTCTTTTTGGTGAAATCAGGGTTTTTCCTTTGCTAGTTTTAAGGCTTAGTGGTCATATAGAATGATATTTATGGCTGTTTGTGAAGAAAAGACAACAATTGATATCTTCTTTCACTAGAGTGGCATTTATAATCTTTTAGTTGTTGTCCATGTTGAGTTATGTTAGTACATGTTAACATATTGTGTTTATGGTACCTTGCAGTGTCAGGGCAGAATTTTCCAGGTCTGGTAGATGTACCAATCTATCAAGGATGAACAATTGATTTGCCCTGAAAATTTATTTAATGCTGATTAGATGTGTGATGCATATTGCTTTCCAGTGTTCAAAGTTGGCAGTGAAACTCTAATAAATTTCCAAAATGTTGAGTAGTACAGTTGTAGGCAATGTGAAAATGTCAAGGGATAAGACTTTTTTCCTCCTGTCATTACTCTCTTGCTTGTCATGCATTACTGTTCATGGAAAATAAAGAACCCAGTTTCCCAGCCCCTGTGAACTGTACTGTTCTTCACAGAGACAAAATTAGGCTGCAACATTCACATCATACAGATGCTGTTTTTACAAAAAGAATATGAAATATCATCTGTTCATCATGGTAGTCTGTATGTGAGGCTTTAAATTTTTCAAGACGTTAATCTATTTTAACAAATAGCATTTATATTTACTAAATATTTTTAAATAAGAATATTAATAATACATGTGACAGATCATTAATAGTATGTCATCTCTTTAACATAGCAGGTTGCACATACGTGGATGTCACATCCAGGGTGTGACATGAGCAAATGATGCTTTCATAAGTTCTGTACAGCCTTATTGAGTAGCATACCCCTTTGAACAAAGACTCAGCTGCAAAGAAAAATACTCATTACTTGTTCTAGAACCTTCATTCTGTTCATTTTTAAGCATTGTGTTTCTGGTAGTGCCTGGGACTGCCAGTTCAGGGAGACTAGAAGTGAGCATTCAGTTAAAAGTGGAGCGAATCGTGAGTTGGAACGAGAAAAATGAGTGCAGATGGGTGAGGGGTAATGTAGTCCATGTTACTGAGGGTAGGGTGAATGGAGAGAACTTAGTGGAACATCTCATCACTGGTATTATCACCAAGAAACAGGGAGATTTGGTAGTGGAGTTTTAGATTTGTTTCCACCTTGGCTCTGTTGCAGTTTAAACTAATAAATGTATGGCAGAAGGCTGCCTGCTTGGAATTCAATAATAGACAGTTCCTAAGATTAGTACTAAGGTGTGTTCTAATGTTTTTGAAGCAACATACCTAGATGTCAAGAAATGATAGAAATATTATTTGTCCTTCAGACTGTGATCACTTCCCTGTACTCTCAGGTGAAAGGAAAGAAAAGAGCTTATCTCTGGTGGATGTCTCATGATGCTGCGTGTGTGTCCCCAGGCTGTCGAGAGTCAAACTTTGTTATGAAACACTAGTGCAATTACTGATTTAGTGATAGATAATAATTACTACCTTTACTAATAAAGTTGTGTCCGGTCTCTTGGATCACAGCAGGTGCCTGTATAATTGCTGTTCCCACTACATGTGCTCATTCATGACTGGGATTCCTAAAGTTTCTTTTTGGACAGCTCTGTGTTTAATGCTTGTGTCTGGATGGGAGTTAAAGCAGACTGGCAGGCTGTAATTTAAAGAGACTGAGAGGATTAAGGTGGGTTTGACTTGAGTGATGAGCTGGGAAGAATGTAGCATTGTTTTGGCTTAGCTGTGTTTAACCAGCTTTCAAACTCTAGTTACTCCTAAGGAATAGCTCTATTCCTGTGGCTACAGAAACAGGGAAGCCTTTTTTTGATGTGTAGTAGGCCAAAAGATGTACATTGTCATGGCTGGTGAGTTGAGTACTGTGTGGTGTGAGACACTACATGCAAGATGTATTTTAAACACTGGGTATGGAGCCATCTTCATGGATTCAAAATTCTATGTTAGGCTTGTGAAAGCCAGTAAGTGGTAGGCTCTAAATGGCCTGTGGTATCCCAGAGGTAGCCGCTTTCTTCTGTGCCAAAATGGCTTTTAGCCACCATTTCTTATGTGGGAAACACTTTGCCTGTTAATCTGAAATAGTCTCAGTTCTTGGGCTTCAGTTGTGCTGCTAACTTTGTGTTGGATGTTGCGTGAAAGTGCTTCTGGAAATGCCAGGCTGTTTGCCCTGCTAACTGCTATTAGTGCAGTGTGATTTGTATTCATTGGAGCAGATCACGATTAACATTGTGAACCTCAGTTTATTCAGGAAATGGAGGAGCTGGATAGCTTCGATAACGCAAAAAGAATAGGAAATAAATTGTGAGTTAAGAGGCTCTAAGAATAGAGATAAACATAGAAATTCTGAGTAGCATATGATGCTATTGCATTGCAGAGCACAGGGATCTATGTATTAGCAGAGTTGCAAGCCATTGAAGCTCCCTGCAGCACAGTGCAATGCCCCCTGACTGGGTTCAGGTAGAACTGGCAGCTTGTATGCCTGATACCCCAGAAGTACCCCTGATGAGCTGCCCCCAGGACTGGGATCTAAGGGTCAAATGTTGTGAGGAGATCTTGCCAATTTTCACCAAAATGGAAAAACTCTGTGCCAATGACCTTGTGTTATGTTACTTCGAGCTCATTTGTTTTCCTTCTTAGCTAAGATTTGCTGTATAGGTACATGTTACAGCAAGTTGACTTTGCTTTCAGCTATTCATTGGAGAAAAAAATATTTGTTGGTCTAAAGATGTTTTTTGTGGTGTTATGATTTGAAAACTTCCTGATTAATGCTTTGGTTATATCAAGTATAAATAATTAAGGGTGTTTCAGCTTTCAGAAACTTACCGGTTCCATTATTTTAGCTCTCTTAACAAAACAGCTTTCTGTAATTCAGGATGTATTGAAGTTAACAAATATAGAATGTGTTCTGGGAGAGACAAACAGTCTAAGTGTTCAGTATGAATGTTTAATAAATGTATAAAACAATATTTACACGTATCTGACCACTGACACTGAAGTAGTTTGTGTTCTTTGCAAGTGCCCCTTTAAACTTGAAGGAAGGAACTGGAATTGGTTGTTATACTGTAGATAATTTCTTCATGGTTAACTGCCAAATAATTCTATGGTGTCTGTGATTTAGTTTGCCATGTGCTGGCATTTACAGTGCTTATATCTGGTGAAGTTGATGGGTCAGTGGGTCATCTTCGCTTCAGCTCTGTAATGTAGGTTACCTCTATGAACTTCTGACACCCTATTACATTATACTAGATAAAGCTCTAGAGCTTATGTGTGTGATACGTATGTGCTAATCATCTAGCTATATTAATCTAGTTTTGAGAGGAAACAATAATTGATGTTAAAGATAAACTTTTGAATAGAATCTAGAGATGTTATAAATCGCATACTTGTTGCTTACATGTTCGGTGGCTACAATAACATGTTTTCACTTCAGTTCTTACAGGGGATTGTTAGTATCCAAAGACCAGTATTCAGATGTCTTTGTAAAATCTTAAACAGTGTTCTGATGTAATGCTGAGGGAAGGGAAAGATAACTTTTTACTCTACCTTTTTTTTTTTTTTTAACCTTTGGCTTGAAGTACATTTACTTCCAAATCCGGCATTTTTCCTCCCAAGTGTTCTCTGTAGGAAAACATTCTCAGATAAATGTTTGTAAGGCTTAGCTTACTGTCTAAATTATTAGATGATCAGACTTAATCTTGTCTGAATTCTCTACTCAAAGACTTTTGCAAGCATATTTTTACAATTAAAGTGTTTTTCTTCTCTGATTTTACTGAGATCATATTTGGCCCTTGCTAAATGAGTAGTGTGCCACTGTTAACATCTGCAGGACTGCATCATCGAGGTGCTGCTCTGATGGACTTGCTGAGTAATTGGTAAAGAACAAAAAATAACAAAAAACAGGCCTGCCAGCTATGTGGCATTTCATAAACAGTTAACAGGAAACCTACATGTTACTATATTCACACTGCTGTGCAAAGTTAGTAATACAGAAAAGTAAATTGTAGGGCTAATGATTCAAAAATGTATAATATTAAGTACTCATAAAAATTCATAGTTTTAGAAATACTTGCATTACAGGTGGACAGGCTTTTCACCATTCTAGTCTTGTTACTTAATTATTTCTAAGATGTTCCCTTGTACATAATGTACGTTTAGTTTATATGCTACAAGGGATTTTGACAGCATGGACAGGTGAGCATACTTGTATTTGTACGTTACTTTTGTAAGGATGTGCTGATTTTTAGTAAACTGTAAACGTGCAGTGTTTAGAAAACTTGTATAAAATGGTGAGAGTTTTTTTTTATTATTATGTTTGGTTTGAATCCTACAATACGCAGAAGAATGTTGCAAAAAGAATTTTTGAATACAATATTCAAGATGCCCTGACTGGGATAAAACACTTCGTACACTGTCAAATACAGGTGTGTCACAAATCCAGCTTTAACCTGCAAGGAGTATTCATTAAAAGATGATGTTCTCTGTCATTTCTAAAATAATAATTTTTTTAAAAAATTAGTGCTCCTGGATAC